CCTGCAATCACAGTAGACCAAGCTGTTGCCAAACTGCACAAGATTTCCAAAGTCATTAAAAGTTGATATAAACTCAATTGGGATTCCACCCCCAAGCTGCTTGTTTGAAGCACTTCAATCTGGCAGCATCAGTATCTGCAGATATTATCTTTCCTGGATGAGACAGATAGCACCCACCTCTATACTGAAGAGATTTTGACAATACAATTTGCAATGAAGCAGAGGGAGGGAGAGGAACGCTAGGGACGGGTGACCTTTTTAAAGGGGAGGACTCTAAGTGTCTTCTTCCTACATTTCAGATCTCTGTACTTGATAAGAGTAACTCAGGACAGCTGCAAGACTTGGGTCCTGTTGCTGGTTTTATGACCAATATGATTGACGGTCCTCCTATTACAACAGGGAAATTCAGCGCACCCTGCGTGGCACCAATTGCCACTGGAGGAGTAAGTACCCCCAAATGATGGTACCTTTATGATAATCTTTTTTATTTTTAATGTACAGATCAAGCAGGTTGCAAATTATGGAAACGCAAACCGAAAGAGCACAAGCACAGCAATTCTGGCATAAACAATGGCAGAGTCTCCAGAACAAGCCCAGACGGTCTCTCCGTAGTGTGGTTTTTACACACATCCCTTTGCCCATTATTGTCCCTTCTAGGGAGGAGAGACACATCCCAAGCACATTCTAGGTGGAACTAGGACATCCAAACAAGGCTGAAGCGATCTCGCTGCAGCTGATTGCCCCTTAATCCACTTTGATTATCTCCATCAGCTACCAGGATGAATAATACCTTGGAGAGATGATAATCTCTCCACATTACATGGCAGAACAGCTTGGCTACAACAGCACTGCTTATTTAAAATGGAAATGCTCCCATTTGAAGAGGTGGATCCTGTTATAAATATAAGCCAGTTTTCTTTTAAAAACACTCTTGCTTATACAGTATACTGAATTCAGGACAGATTTTCAGTAGTGGTTTGCTGAGTAGCACAATGTTTCAGTATCTCTCTCCCCGCTAACTTGCCCCATGACATTTGCCCTTGCTTAGCAACATAGGAAGCTGCCTTATATTGTGTCAGACCATTGCAGCAGTGACTGGCAGCTGTTCTCCAGGGTCTCATAATGACATCACTGTAGCAATATGTCAGAGGAGGGCAGAGCTGTGTTTGCCACAGGGCCTCTTAAGCTAGGCTGCTTCCCTCAGGTGTGGCAGAGGATGCTGCCCTGTCACCAGGGTGGAATAAGATCAAAACCCCCAGCCCAGTCAGCTTTAAATGGCAGGTGCCGCCTTTTCCCTTTGCCTCAGAAAGCAAAATGCCTTGTACCTGCTCTAACTACTGCCGCTTACTCTTAAGCTCTCTCTGCAGCTTGCATGGCAACTAATTTTCCTTAGAGTGTTAATGTGCAACACTCATCTTGCTTTCTCTACCCCTCCCTTGCTGCCCTGCTCTTCTCCAAGCATTTTACGACCCGGAGTTGCAGAGGTGTGCTCTCATTACAGCTCTATAAATTGCCATGTACTTTGATGCTGTAGTAATAAATCATTACAACAGCACCGCACTCCTGCAATAACCAACACTGTCTTCTTCCTATTTGAGAGACGGGAGCTGATTGAGTTGTTTTGAAATATTGAAGCTGTCTGTGTTTCTGTATACAATGGCCTGGCACAAAAAGTAGCCTTGCCAATACATATGATAAAATGAGAATAAAAATCACCAGTCCACAAATGCTCTCACCAGCTGGAATTCTCAACCATTTCCCACTGAGGTAGGTATTCCCTAACTGGAGTGCTAAGTCTAAAGCGTCCTTCTCTAAGAGCCACCCATCAGACCTCATCTGGCAGAGGTAGCCAGAGAGGATTGTAAAGAGGTGGTCAGACACTTAAAGTCCATTTGGGGCTTTAAAAGGTAACACCAGCCCTTCAGAATCATAGAGGAAGAAGGTATCCTGAGGATCATCTGGTCCAACCCCCTGCTATGCAGCTGTCCCTTATGGGGATCGAACCTGCATCCCTACACCGTCCTCCCTGAGTGGCCTTGCAAGGCTCAGATCTGGGGAGGGTGGTGCAAGGAAGTGGGCTCCATTTATCCTCCACCCCTCACCCCACCCCTGGCATAGATGCGCACATGCACATGCCCCAGGCAACTTGGAGACATGCTCCGCTGCTGCATTTACTTCTGTTGTCCCGAATGGCCTGGGAACATCCTACTCAGCTGCATAAGCTGAAAGAACCATGTTCTGAAGAGTGGCAAGTGAGTTTTTCCGGCTTTGGGGCCTGCCTGGCACAACCCTGCCCCTCCCTTCTCCACCCCCACCCTCCTGGTAAAGCAATTTCCTGAGTCAGCTTGAAGCAGGGACTTCTACAAAGGACATTACAGTGGTACCTCGGGTTAAGTACTTAATTTGTTCCAGAGGTCCGCTCTTAACCTGAAACTGTTCTTAACCTGAAGCACCACTTTAGCTAATGGGGCCTCCTGCTGCTGCCGCGCCGCCAGAGCACGATTTCTGTTCTCATCCTGAAGCAAAGTTCTTAACCCAAGGTACTATTTCTGGGTTAGCGGAGTCTGTAACCTGAAGCGTATGTAACTCGAGGTACCACTGTACAAAGTCTGCAAAGCACATAAAATCTTGCCTGAGGTTAGCCCATGGTTCCCACCAAGCCCAACGAATTTCCGGCCCACTGCCTGCTGGTGAACAAACTGCAAGGCCCAGGTGAGAAGGATGTCCCCGGTACCCTTCCTTCAGTGTTCCCTGCCTGGCATTGTGCCGAAGAAACAGGGCTTTGTGCTCTGCGTCACAGGCGTAGAAGTGGGAGGGGAATTATTAGACAAGGCAGGAAGGATGAGGGGCTACAGAGAGTGTGAAGAGGATAATGCGAATAATCACTCCCTTTCCTCGCCGGCAGCTACATGGGGGGGGGGGGGGACAACAGAGACGCAGCAACCTGAAGTTAATTTGTGACAAACTTATTGCATTAAGCTGCTGGTAGGACTCTAGCTGTGAAATTGCACCAGCCCAGCCGCACACAGAACCCCCTCTGCCCTGGGCTGCCTCTCACATAATGGCAGCTGGTGCCAGTTGGAGGAGGAGGAGGAGGGAGGGAGGGAGGGAGGGAGGGGTGGCACACTGCGTCTATCGCTGAAGGACAGGCATACTCTGATTCACAGGGCCTGGGAAAGGCAAGGCAGAAGCGGGTAGGCACAGGGACATGCAGAAAGCCTGTGAGACAGGCAGTGACAAAATAGCAAAAGCACACCAGAGAGCTGCTGGCTTGACACATGGGAAGAAGGAGAGAGACACATTGTTGTCTAAAAATGGAGCCCTCTTATGCTCTGAGGTGCCCCTGGATTTCCGCCGCATTTGTAATCTTGTGAACAGAATCATGACAAAAGCCGGCTGTGGGCTGGTTTGCATATGTCTGTTTTCTGGTGGCGGCACTTCGAGGTAGCTTCAGCGTGCAAATAAGCCCATGACATAGCAAATGCCACAGTTCAAACTCCCAAGCAATCGCCTCAAACATGATTTAGCTGCAATCTTTCAAGTGCTGAAGAATCAGTAGTGCAATCCTCATCTGCTTTGAAGTCAGTCCCTCTGAATTCAATGGGGCATGCCCCCAGGTAAGATTGCCTAGGACTGCGGCAGCAGGGTGCACACATGTATGAGCTGGCCCTGCATATCAGCCTCCTAGAGATGGTGTATATACAGCGTTGATCCGTTGGTGCCTGTGGTTTCCCAAAGTATATTGGAAAGCAGAAACCATGCTAAAAGGCAAGTGAAATGATCCAAGACCCTCTCCAGGCTGGTGAGGTGTTTTTTCATTCTTTCGCAGATGTGTTCTGCAACATGTCATTAAGGATTGCTGGATTTATACCGGATTGTCCACACATCATTCTGCTTTCTAAGTTGTTCTGCAATGCTTTCCCCAATGCTATTGCGTTATTGCTGTCTGGAGGGGCGTTCTTACACTCTGGTGCAACAAAAATGGGGGTGGGGACTGGAAAATGTTTGGTATAAAAAGTTAGAGCATTTCAGAAGGAACTTCTGGGACATGCACTGTTTGGAAACAAAGCAGTATGTCTGCTCCAACGCTTTCGCAGACTCAAAGAGTATTGCAAATAGGATGGCGTATAACTGCCCCAATACCATCATGAGCACAAATCATTGTGAATGCACAATAAAAAGGACATCTGGAAGGGTCCCAAAAGGAAGAAGCATCTTCGGAAGGAAGGAAGGAAGGAAGCTTGAGAAGCTGAGTGTTTTGGAGGCGTGGGAGGCAGTACACAAGGTACAAAAATTATGAACTACATGGAGAGAGTGAAACAATTCTCTTTGAACACTGGAACTCTGGGATTAGGCAAGGAAGTGAACACAAGGAGAGCCCTGCTGCTGCTGGATCAGAACAAAGGCCCATCTAATCCAGTATCCTCTTTCCCACAGTGGCCCACCAGATGCCTCTCGGAAGCCAGCAAGCAGGACATGAGGGCAGGAGTCCTTTCCTGCTGTTGCTCCCCAGCAACTGGCATTCTGCCTCTGATCCTGGAGGCAGCATGTAGCTGTCATGACAAGTAGCCTTTGATAGCCTTATCCTCCGCTAATTTGCCCAGCTTATTTTTTTAAAAAGTAGTTTGATTTGGTGGCTATCACCATGGGAAACAAATGCCACAGTTTTAACTATGTACTGCAGGGGGGTAGAAGAACTTCCTCTTACCTTTCCTGAATGTCTCACTCTTTGGCTTCATTGGGTGCTGCCATTATGTTATCTGCTTCCACTTTCTCTACACTGTGCATGATTTCACAAACCTCTGCTATGTTCTCCCTTACCCACCTGTGATTACCCCAATGCTGTGATTTTTCCCCTGACAGGAGATTTGCTCCTGCTCTATAACAAGTTGTGCAAGTGAAACAGTTTTAAAAGGCAGATAGCCCATGTTGAAGCATTGGGGAAAGGTAAGATGGACAGCTGAGCCAGTGTTGAGTTAAATGACCTGCATATGGGGGAAGGGTCATAGCTCAGTGGTAGAGCATCTGCCTTGCAAACAGAGGGTCTCAGGTTCAATCCTTGGCATCTCCAGGTAGAACTGGAATGTCCCCTGCCTAAAACTCTGGAGAGCTACCGCCAGTCAGTGTAGACAATACTGAGTGGGGTGGACCAATGGGCAGCTCTCTGTGTATACATGCATGCCTGGATTGAGGCATGCATGTATACACAGCTCACCTTGCTTACCTTGCAGCTGAGGAACCCCCCTGAGTGCTATCTTTATATCTGCCACTGCTCTAAAAATAATTAGAAAAGCAATTAATGATAAGGCCCTTGACTGTTAAACAGAGCTTCCATATTTGGAGACAATATACCTTTGGAATGACCAGAAGCTGAGGTCAAGCAACAGAGGGATGATTTCTTGCTGGTGAGCCTTCGGGGCTGGTCACTGCTGTAAAGCTGCATAGATCAGTCAGTATGGCATCAGACTCTTAATCTCAGGGTTATGGGTTTGAGCCCCGTATTGGGCAAAAGATTCCTGCATTGCAGGGGGTTGGACTAGATGGCCCTTGGGGTCCCTTCCAGCGCTACAATTCTATGATTCTATGATGATACACTGCAGGACCACAGACTTGGAGTCTGCTCGAACAAGGCAATTCTTAAGATTCACAAGATTGTTATCGTTTGCAAATCAGCATAGCTCAACCACAGTTGATTACACCTTATTCAAGAGTGCATTATTATTCAGTTTACTGGATCCAGAGCAAGAGACCATTATAAACTAGTAATATGAATATGTTTAAGGTATTTTTCTTTCCCTCCATAATTAAGATTTGGTTAACCGTGCCTGATAGATTTATGTCTTCCTGGGGAAAAACACATGTCAGATGCTTCTGGCAGGAGCCAGTGTCAAGAGGCAGGAAGGCAAGCCCTCCTCTTTCCAAAAACACACAGAGAGAAAAGCCCTACAACAAGAGCATGCTCTGTGGGGGATATTACGTGGGGCTTTGGTGGCTAGGATATGAAATGTAGCATTTCTCATTTTGAAAGCAGCAGATCTGTCCAGAGGCCTTCACAGTTCAGTGTTCTGTTGATAAATATCCCTGAGCAAGTATCTGACAGAGCTAAGCAAAGACCGGAGCTTATTAGCTGGAATGAATGCTATTATATTGCCTTTTGCTGCGCCAAAGCATTTCTGGGTAAACTAAGTTAATCTTCGGCTACTTTTGTGCGTATCTCACTAAGCTCCTTCAAACATCAGGAAGGAGGGAGGGGAGAGTGGTGGATGCAATTACGTCATTCTTGCAGGGTTTTCAGACAGCAGGTTCCCTGTTTCCAAGGTCCGTCAACTTTGGCATCATTACTTGCACATTGGCGCTTAACAAGGAGGCAGATCGAGTAGCTCGCCTAGCAGTCTATCCAGTTGCCTGTCTGTCTGGATCCTTTAGAAGTGCTCCCATTGCTTGTCACCTTGTCAAGCCCAACACCGTGGGATGCAATGTTTGGGCAAATTAACACAGGCACAAACACACAAATTGAAAGCAAACCACTCGAGTCCCTTGGGTATTAGCTGCTGTCAGATTCAGGAAGCAAATACCCAGCAGCCAGACTTTCAAATCCAGAGCTGGGGGTACAGTGGGTAGAACACGGAAGGTTTAACTCTTGCGTCTGGTTCATTGGAGGCTGCTCCTTTCGTTTTTACTTAAAAGATGATGGCCTTTTTCTAAGGGAGGAGGGTAGGCAACATAGTGTTGTCCACATGCCATTGGACTCTAACTCCCATCATCCCTGGCCATTGGCAAGGCTGGCTGGAGCTGATGGGAGTTCAACACCTGGAAGGCACCATGCTGGTTACCCCTGCTCTAAGGCATGGTTCTCACTGAGCTACTAAACCAATGCATGGGGTCCCCACCCTGCACTCAGCTCTCACCTGTGACTCTTAGAAGCTGTCAGCATGTGACAGCGGCCACACCTCCCACAGGTTGGCTAAATCAGGTGAGTGTAGCTGATGGGTCTCAAACCCTTAGTGAGTTAAGAACTTCCCCTGCATACGAAAACAGCCTCTGGGGGACTAAGCGGACAAGACCAATAGTGGGTCCAATGGTCAAGAGGACAGTTTCTGCATGAGCTAGCTAGACCATGCAGACTGCAGTTGGAGGCTTGCATGACTGATGTTGCTCCATGTGTTTCCTCTCTCATCTGCAGATCCTATTACGAAAAAGCATTCCTTCACCTATGGTATGAAGTGGTATGGTTCAGAGACTAAGTCATAAGGCTCTGTTTTAAAGATGCAGAGGTTCTGCCACGTATTCTTTGCAGACTAACTGGTTCCACCCAAGCCTTTGCTCCTATCTGGAAAGTGTGACGGAAAAGCACAGAGCCACAGTCACATATACTGAGCATGGTGCAAATGCCTCAATATCTATAAGTTATATTAATGTTTGAGTTAATTAGTTGTGTGAAACTATACCTATTCCCTCCCCCTACCCAAAAAGGTTCTAGTACTTGTAGCCATGGCACAAAAAATCTGGAGTCAGTGCAGTGGTGCCTCTTCTTTCAGAGGCAGCTCAGAATTTGTGTTAGTCAAAGCAACACACACCCTGTTAACTCCAAGAGTTGCAAATTAGAGCCCACCATTAGAACACTTTAGATCTGGGTAGCCAGGTGAAAAGTAGGGACGTGGGTGGTGCTGTGGTCTAAACCACTGAGCCTAGGGCTTGCCGATTGGAAGGTCGGTGGTTCGAATCCCTGCGATGGGGTGAGCTCCTGTTGCTCAGTCCCTGCTCCTGCCAACCTAGCCGTTTGAAAGCACGTCAAAGTGCAAGTAGATATATAGGTACCTGTCTGGCGGGAAGGTAAACGGCGTTTCCATGTGCTGCTCTGGTTTCACCAGAAGCAGCTTAGTCATGCTGGCCACAATGACCCAGAAGCCGTACGCTGGCTCCCTCGGCCAGTAAAGCGAGATGAGCACCGCAACCCCAGAGTCGTCCGTGACTGGACTGAACTGTCAGGGGTACCTTTACCTTTACCTTTAGCCTGGTGAAAAAAGAGCACAGTGCTCATGCACCTATAATAAGTGCAGAGAAGGGGGAAAGCTGACATTATTTGTTCTTCCAAACCATTAGAAGTGCAAGAATTCTGTCTTTTTTCCCCACTTGGCCACCTTACTCCATATCCTAGCCAGTCTGATGTGAGGCACTTCCATACTATTGCTATTTTATGGTGGGATTCAGGAATCTCAGCTAACATATCCCTGACAGTTGGTCATCCAACCTCTGCTTAAAAACCTCCAGTGAAGGAGAGTCTACAACCTCCCAAAGGAAACCGTTCCAACGTCAAACATGGCACATATGTTTCCGAGGACCAAAGCCCACTATGTCAGATGTATGAAGTGAACTCTTAGGTGGCAGATGCACATACCCACACCCAAACATGGGTGTACAGGTGGAAAATGTATTGTGGGGGGTTGTGCTTTTTGCATCTCATTGCCAATCAGTGATAATTCAATTAGAGCTTCAATGTATGTTAAACAGGCTCAGCCGCCCTGTACTGCAGACTTACCTGCAGAGATGCCTTCACAGCTGTGCATCATCCAAAACATCTGCATGCTCTTAAGACCCCCTTAGATGAGGCTGAGCCAGGAAGCAAAGGATGGGATGCAGAGATGGAACAAAGAAGATATAAGCTGTTGCTGTTGTAACTGAACAGGCTATTCCATTTTGTTTCTCACCCAAACTTTCTGCCCTGGGAACTCCTATATAAAAGCCCTTCCGCTCCCTTCTTGGCCATATGCTGTCTGATCTTTCACTTCATTGCAGGTCATTGTCTACAAGTGCCTGTGGAAGGGCCCATCCTTTAGCAGCAGAACACTTGCTTTGTAAGGAAAAGGTCTCTGGCCCAGTCCCTAGTTATCTCCTGACAAAAAGGGATAAGGTAGCAAGGAATGCTATAGGAAAGACCTTTGCCTGTTGTCCAGAAGGCGGTTGCAGGTCAGGGCAGACAGCACTGGACCAGATGAAACAATGGTCTGATTTGCTTTAAGATTACTTGCTAAGTTAGGGCTTGAGCCTGAAAGGTGCTATAATGTTTCCGAGTGTATCTGGGTAGGCAGAGGCCTTGGGGGTCAGACCAGGGCAGCGTAATCTTCCCCCTTTGATTTGTGTGTGAAATTCACTCCTGACAGAGGCAAACAGCATGAACATAGTAATTTAATTGCTACTTTCCTTGATGGAAGGATTGCTGCCCTGGTGCTGCTTGTTGTTATGAGCTTGGCTCTCTCAATTAGCATGAATGGGTCCATCGTTTTGCCTGACAAACTTGATGGGTGAGCAGGGATGTCCCAGAAGGTCTTTAATGTGCCTTAATGTTCTGGAATCTTTCTCCAGCCTTGGGAATATGACACTCCTAAGCATTTTGGGGTGGAGGGGTGGGACAGAGGTGCAGCTAGAAGTCTGAATTGAGTTAGGCTCTGCACACACATTCCCACTGGGAACCATAGTTTGTTAAGGGTGCTGGGAATTATACTTCTATAAGGGGTAATCTACAGTTTCCAGGATTCTGGAGGTGGTGGAACTCTAAACATGCATTATTATTATTATTATTATTATTATTATTATTATTATTATTATACCGCCCTATACCCAGAGGTCTCAGGGTGGTTCACAGAACAAAATCAAAATATAAAACCACAAAATACATAACCAAAATAAAAACAACCAAATAACACCCCCAACCCACATTTTAAAAGAGCATAGGATGTCAATCAAATCAACCAAAGGCCTGGTTAAAAAGGAACATTTTTGCCTGGTGCCTAAAGGTGTATAATGAAGGTGCCAGGTGAACTTCCCTGGGCAGAGCATTCCACAGACGAGGAGCCACTGCGGAGAAGGCCCATCCTTGTGTTGCCACCCTCCGGACCTCTCGAGGAGGATAGGAGGCATAAGGTATTAAATATATGGTGTGTACACAAACATAGACAGCCTGCGGGGAGCTTTTCAGCTAAAGATTTGGAGTACCGGTTGGCACCACTCAGTTGCTCTCTGGTAATCATTGAGAGAGCATCAATTGTTTTGCTGCCTGCTGCAGAAATTTGT